AATTACTCGAAGGAAGATCATTTTTACGATTTATCGATCCAAATTGACAAAAAATTCAAATTAAGATCACCAGAAAAAAATGCAGAATCCACTTCTAGTTCAGTTATGGGCTCTTTAGTAGGATTTCTGGGGTGCGTTACATACATACAAAACCTTTTATTCTTGTTTTATTAAGAAAATTTTAATTGTAAATAATAATTTACATTTTATATTTATATTTCAAATAAGAATACATAACAGAGCTGTTAGGCTTCAAGATTGCTTATCTTCGTTTTGCGCAACTGAGAAGTTGACTGGCGTGGATAGATATGAATGTGATAAATGCAAATCTTTAACGGACTGTCAAAAAACATTGAGGATTACGCAGTTACCAGAGGTTGATATTTTGATTTCGATCTATTAATTTTATTATAGTTGCTTGATTTCATGTAACTTTATTTTGCATCTTCGTAGATTTTGTGTATACAGCTCAAGCGATATCGTTTTGATTCTTATTCTTATTTTTCATCAAAAATCGCAACGCATGTTCAATTTCCGATGGAAGATTTGGACATGAAGCCATATTCTAGCGAAAAAATTAATTCTGAAATAGATAATCAAGATACGTTAAATATAACCAAGTATGATTTATATGGCTTAATTCATCATCGTGGTGTATTGGGAGGTAAAATAATTATTTTTGTTTCTTATCAAATTATTTCTATAGCAACAATATTTTAACTTTTCCTTTTTTGATTTAGCTGGTCATTATATCGCTTATGTAAAAAATCCAATAGATGGTAATTGGTATGAATATGATGATACTGTACGTTTTTGAATTCGTTCTAATGTGTGCACATTTTTCTTCATATAAATTATTAATGAATGATAAATTTTAAATATTAGTACATTACTAAAAAATCCGCAACAGATATATCTCGTTTAGAAGCATATGCTTTGTTTTATCAGAAGAAATGTTCAGCGAAGGATCAAGAACGCAAAGAAATATTAGCTAGAATTTGCAAAGATGTATGAACTAGTGTTTTTGAAATAAAAAGAGCGAAAAAAAAAATTTTTTTTTCCTGTGCTTTAATGACTAATATATCTATTTTAATAGCCTGGTGTTGAAATTCCTTATTTAATTTCACGGCTATGGTTTAACAGATGGCAATTTATGACGACGGTAATTTATTACTAAATCAAATATTTTTATTTTTTTATATTTCATCTAATTAACATTTTCTTTGAATACCAGCCTGGTCCTATAACTAACTATGATTTTCTGTGTAAACATGGAAGTTCGTATTTTATTAAATCAATTGATTGTTAATATTATTAAAGGATATTTATTCTTCAGACTCCAACTGATATGTATTAACTGAATTTAGGTGTAAATCTAAAGCGATACCCTAAAATTCGAAATATGGTGGTTAAAGTACCATTTAGTGTTTATACCACATTTGTTGGTAAATATGGCACAGACGGCAGTCCTCCATATTTTTCAACTGATCATGGGATATTAGGATGTGTTATTTGTGAGGTATTACATTTTTTTTTTCATAGGATTGAATCTTATATTAACTCTCATTTTTAAATGTAGCATTAATTTAAGCTTCTAATTATGAAACAGAAAGAAGAAAAAAAATTGGAACAAAGACGTCAGAAAGAGACTCTTGAAATTGGAATGATTGATACTAATACCATAAAGCGTGGCGAATTTTGGTTTTTAATAAGTTCCAAATGGCTTTCAAGTTGGCATAATTTTAAGTCCGGAGGTAAAAATTAATTTTATTATTTTGTTGTTATTGCTATTCATTTGACTAATAAGGGAAATTATGTGATGAATACCATCTAGGACCTCCGCCCGGACCTATAAATAATTATTCTTTTCTTCAAGATGATGGAAGTCCAAAGCCCAGAATGAAGAGAGGTTGGTTATAAAACTTCTATTATTATTGAGGTAAATGATAAGCTAATATTGTATTTTTTACCATAGGGGATGATTATAGAGGAGTTAATGAAAGAGTCTGGAGCTACTTTGAACATTCATATGGGGGAGGTCCAATATGCGTTAGAAGTAGGAATTATTTATAAAGTAATTTAAATGATTAGTTGTTTAGAGTGATAATACTAATATTTGAATTTCTTTCTTTTTTTTTTTTAATAAAAAATAAAAATATAAATATTACTATTTAGCGACTATTGATCTATATGCACCAAATCCATTAATTTTGGATAATTCGACAAATGGTAGATCTTATCAAAAATTAAATGGATCAAATAATCCCAGAACGTAATCATTTATTTATTATTATATAAACTAATGTATTAAATTAGTCAAATATTATAACTGTAAAATATAATAAAATAATTTATTAAGTTCCTCAATTTTTAAATATATTATTAACTTATTTTATTTATTTCCATAATAATAACCCTTTCGTGATGGTTAATTTAATAGTGAATATGCTTTAATTTTATAAACTTTCAAGAATTATAAAATTTAAAAATTTATCTCGATTTGGAAAATAAATTTCTTTAGAAATTTGAACTTTGTATATAATTAAAAAAGTTTAAGAAATCATATGAAACATTTGAAAAATATTTTCAAAGTTTAAATGAAATATTAAAAAAAAAAAAAAAATTCTAAAGTATATATTACGGGGTCAAGTTCAGTAAAATGATCAAATTGGTAAAAATTTACTTGTAAAATAATCTGTTCATTCATATTAGGGAATCAATTAATTTTGCTCTCATTTCATTTAATATTCTTTATTGCTAGATAAAATAATCATGTTTATAAAATAAATGGAAAGTTAATTGCAATTCCCATACCATTTACTACTCAGATTTTAAACATCAAAAACGTAAGTTAAAACCATGACAAAAATTTGTTAGATACTGTAAATAATAACTTTAAGGAAGATTCCACAAATCCTATATTAATTAAGTTTTGGACAGGTGGCAAATCGAAATTTGTTTTGAAGTTTTTTGGCAAAAAAATTTTTTTTTAAAGTTACGGTTGGTAGTAATTTTCAACTACATTTCCCTTCGGAAAATTTATGTCTGTCTAGGTCCGATTAAGTCAAAATTGTTGAAATTCGAAAAGTTTCAACTTTTGCCAAAATGGGATTAGGGTTACCTTAATATGATCTAATATTACAAGAAATGAGTCGGTCAATAAATAATTTGTTTCGTCCAGTTTGTTACCTTTCAATTTTTTTTTAGACGATTTAGTTGATATCCCAATTTCATTTTAATTTATGAAGTTGGAGTTGGAATTGACAGAATTTTACTTTATGTTTGCGCGGCTGTATCGTAGCTTTTATCTAAAATAAATTAATTTTCTTTAGGTTTCAATTTTTTATTTTTAAATTTATTTTAATTTGCTTGATTTTTTATTTTTGAATCATTAACATCAAATTATCATGCAAATACTTATTATCAATCATATCGCATACAGTCATCCCCTTATAAATCCCTCTTATCACACCACCCGCTATAATATATAAAGGATTACTTACCACTTATGAAAGAAGACGTTACTACAAGGTCACGTCTCCTTCTTCCGAAGACATGGGTTATATCATCTCCTTCACAAGAGGGAGTATAAGCACTCACAAGAGCGAATGCAAACTAAGGAATAGACAGATATTGAAATTGGAATTGTGGGATTTGATCAATAACGTGATTTTATTGTTTTTTTTTTTGTGTAAACTTACGTAGAAATGATAACACTCGTTTGAAAGCGATAAAGACTAGAAAAATCTTATTATACAAAGAAATATATATATATAAAGGAAGAAGTGATCGGTGACCTTGCAAGTTGAAGTTCAAATCGTGAAAAAATCTATTAAAGAAGCCGGAGAAAAAGTTATTGATGAATTAAACAATTCGAAACTTGAATAAAATTATTATTAAAGTGGATTGATATTATACAAACAAATAAAAACCAAAAAGAATTACATTTATTTCATTTGAAATTATATACATCTTTTCAAACTAATACATTCATTTTCACAATAATAATCAAAGTATGATGAATACTTAAATACGAAAACGAAAAAAGGAACAGGTATATTTATTATTATTATTATTATTCTAGAATTTTTATTCATTTAGAAAATCATTCAAAAAGTGATTGATACGAACCGTTATTATTGAGTTGATTTATACAAAACCGAAGAGAAGGCTTGGCAAAAATTCTTTTTTTTTTTGCCTTTTATACCAAAAAATTTTATTTATCTTTTTTTTAAAAAATTTTTTTGTATATATATCGGTTTGCTTTATAGTAAAAATACAAAATAAAATGATCAAAGATCAAATCGAAATTAAATTAGAATAAATCCAAATAATATCGAATGTCAAAATTGGAGAGTTTAAAATAATCATAAAGGGTCTAACATAAAAACTTAAAAATCTGTTAATGATCTAATAAAGATCCAATGAAATTGATTGAATAAATCGATGTTTAAACAATCAATCACATACTACTTTATTGACTCGCGTATAATCCGACCCTACCCTTTCGGAGCAATACTCAATACATTCCGTTAAAAACATTTAGTAGTTCAAGTTTTTTCAAAGAATGTTGCGGTGATTTTCGACCTTTAGAAAAAGTAATATATTATTTTTTTTGAAACCTAACGCTAATGATTAAATGATTATCATTCGAATATTAAATAATGCTTCTACAAATTTAACCAATCGGAATTTGAATAACCCGAATAACAAAGTAAATTTTTAAACCAAAAAAAAAAGATCACAAAGATTAAAATAAAAATGATCGACGTTTGGTATTACAAACAATTTGCTTCATGGTTACATTCTGCAAAATTTAACGCCAACGGGTCTTTTTTTTTTTTCCCGTTAAACGTTAATTTACTATCATAAGATGGAATAAATGAAAAAACGTTTAGGGACGCATGCATAAATATAATAAATAAAATAAAAAAGGAATTCATTATTTGAAAATGACAAATTTTTTTAAAAAAAAGTCCTTGAAAAAATTTTTTACCGATATGAAACTCAAAAAAAAATCATTACTTCCTTTGTCATTGATCTTGATCCTTTTCATTTTATTGGGATTAGATTGTGTTTGCGCATTTACTACAACGGTGTATAAGGATCAATTCACGGGTGTAAACATTAATGCAATTCAATCATATTCGGATGGTACGGCTTTATTAACGTTGTCTTATACTGACCCCTCAAGAAAAGGTATTCTTGTTGTTCGTCTCATTCATCCAGACGGGTCAGTGATCGCCTTCGAAATGTCGCTTCGTTGCGATGGTTCAGGAAATTGTCCAGCGATACTGTATCCTTTAGGGAGCAACTACATTTTTGTGACCTATAAGAAAACAGAATTCAATGTTGATGAAAATACGTATGGAATAGTGGTCGATTGGACCGGAAATATTATTACCAGGTATGAGAAAATACTAGCATGCCGTTTTATTTAAATTGCATCGAATTCTCATATAATCCTTCGTTTTTTTTAACTAGCGACATATCACTCGGACTAACCGATATTCAGGTTTCTTCTAGCCTATCAACAGCCTTTCAGCCAAACATTGATCCTAATGTAAACTTTTTGTGGACGAATGCTTACAAGTATAAGAATGCTAATCAAATTAGTTGGATCCTATTCTCTGCTCCGTAAGTTTCTTGATATAAAGTTTGTAAACAAAGGTGCGATAAATTTGACCCGTTATATTTTAAATAGAAACGCCAATGGATCGATTGATATGCTTTCTCAGGGCACGTTTCAAATCTCCAATTCTACCGTATTGATGGATTATAAAACATTTTCAACGATAGAGGGTGGTTTCGGTCTAGCCTATTTGACTAAAGAGCCGATACTAATTCCTGATCCTAGAAACAGTTTGATACTATCGTCCAAGCCACAATGGTATATATTCGTGACGTGAGTAGGTTTATTGATAAATTTCGAAACAAAGCGTTGCTGAATATTAATGAAAATTTCCTTTGAATTGTCTTTGCGACTTAAAATAGATTCATGCAACCTGGATCTGCAGATTTTAGTGAACCGACGCTCATATATCAAACGTCCATCCCATTTTACAGTATTCAGATGAATAGCTGTTTTGCGGCAAAAGATGCATCAGGATACGGTTGCATTTATTTTACTCCCATGCCAAATGGATACGATTACATGTTTATTTCCTTTCTTTCGAGTGGTTCCGTGTCGATTATTGAGCAAATTGTTGATGCAAATGTCACAAAGGTCGAAGAAGTCATGGGGGTGACTCCGCTTCCTTTCGGTGGTTTTCTATCGGTAACTGTAGATGTTTCTACTGGTGACACAAACTTTATTGGTCATGTGTCTCAGAGTAACGGGATCATTGAAACGAATATAAGTTTGCCGACGCAATCGACGAAATTTTACGGCGTTTTCCCCAACAATACTTTATACGTTTTATCCAGTAATAATGACGGCCTAACCATTTATATGGAACCTTTGCCCAAGTTCTTGCAAGAAGGTTTGCATGATTTTATCAAGTTTTTTCTTTCCAAGCTTAGCACACGATCAATTCATTTGTCAATATTTTCGCCTTTAGACAACGGATTCGGTAATTTGTTGATTGACTCTGTTAACCCACCGCTACTATCGAATATTGGCCCAAATTTACGAGATTTAACAATCACTTTCCGTCAAGACGTACTTCTTTCCTTCAAAAACGTCTCAATCTATCAGTATACTACTAAAAACCCGCTCCTTCGGCAAACATTTACGGCGCAATCACAATATTGCTCATTGTTCAACGACAATCGGACCATATCTCTCCAAGTTCTTTCAAGCACGTTCAATTCTCCAAGATCCTCTTATTTTGTAATGATGAATAATAATTTTGTCAGTAGCAAGTCACAAAATCAACCACTTACCGGTGTTTCGGAAGGGTATTGGACTTACACTGCTGGTAAATTAATCATCGATCACAAGAAATCTCATTACTTCATTTTTTACTGACAAAACTATATGTCATAAAAATTTAGATACGGCGACAGGAATCTTCACAGGTGAGTAATGAATAAAATGATGGTGTGTCATAGTTTATTTACTCTATACCATTTTCTTGTAGCAACATCAACTGGCCTATTACGGTTAACCCCAGAAGGCTCGATTTTTTTCAACAATCTCGACAAAGTTGATAAAGCCAACTTTTTTAATGAGATATTGCTTGAACTTTCCGAAATCATACCGATAAATATTAAACGTCTTTCGACCAGCAAACGTCATCAACCTGATCCCAAGGCAACTTATCAGATTCTATTTCCTGTAACAATCGAGAGCGTAAATGATCTATCTGAGCGAACCGTTCAACAAGTTATTGATGACTTGAATATATTGATAAAAAACAAAGGAATAAGTCCAATTTCCTTCAGACCTTTCACATCCTACTTGGACAGCACATACGGTTTCCAACCGACGCGTAAGCATAAAAGTTTTCACTAAACTATTATGTTTTCAGATAACGTTCATTTTATTTACACATTTTATTGTCTCTATTTAAGCAAATCTTTGGGAAATTTACAAGCTCAAGTTAATTTATGTTGCAATAGTAATTGTCATTTTGTGTGCCATTTATTTTGTGGCAAGGCGGAAAAATCGAGAGGTATTAACCGTAAATGTGTTAAAATTCTTTGGATGGTTTAATGTATTTACGCTTTTTTTTATAGGGCAAGAACTTTGTAATCGTCAAGGTAACTCTTATGCTTGTAGATTTGATTTTAGATATAGCTTTTGTTGTTACCAGCGGTAATGATGTGAAAGGGTTATTGTTGCCTAGGTGAGTTAAATTCACGATTTTATTAGAATTTCATAAATCCTCTTTGACTCACTGAGTTCCTTACTATTCTATATATTATTTCGAATATAGTATTCTCTGTCTTACAATCCCAATAGGCTTCAACAGTCTGGTTGCTTTTATTTTATTAATCTCAGAAATCAGTACCAATAAGAAATTTTATGGATGGTTCCAGGCACATTCAAAACCAGCAGCCTTTTTGACAATACTAGCATCAACAGATGTTGAGGCGATTACACTCATGTCATCTGAACTGTTTGGGCTTCAGATATTCAGTGCACCTTTATCAAAAAGATCGGAAATTTGGATCTTTTGGGCAGGATTTTGTAATATATTCATTGAAGATGCACCACAGTTGATTATTCAGGTAGGGAGTTTATGTAATACTATATTTTAAACAAGTATTAACATTCATGTTTCCAAATAGATCTTATATAGGCGCCTCACTGTCTCATATGACATAATTCCATTACTAACCTTGATAATGAGTTCAATTCTTTTAATTATCAATGTTATTGGTCATACTTATGATGGAATTCATAAGTGTTTTGGTCATAATTCTAACTTGATACCCAATGAAAAAGCAAAAAAAGATGAGTTAGAATAGATTTTTGTACAAAATATATATAATTTAAATAAATTATTTTAAAAATTTTAGTTAAAAACCAACCCGTCGGGTCAGGTCATACTTTTGCTTTGCCCAGGTGAACGTCTACATAGAAGCTACGTTCTGCGAATTTTATATTACGCACACCTTAACTCAGTGATGGCAAGTGACCTGAAATGACCCAAATGACTTTGATGACTGGTCACTAGTCATTAAGTCACTTTAAAAGC